GAGGCCACTAGTAGGTTTGAGGCCATTGCTAGTAGGTTGGAGGCCATTTGTAGGAGGTTGGAGTGACAAGGTTTTGCATGTTGAGCCAGAACGAGACCTGGGTGTTTTCAATCCAAACTGGTGCAAAGCAGACCCTCCAGTGCCATCCAGTTGTTCCAACCATTTTCTGGGTGAGACATGCAGACACCGTTTCCTGGCAGGCTTTGGTTGCAGCAACGCCTGGGTCGAGAAGCAGCAGCCGGACTTGCAAGAGATGTACCTTGGACTATAAACCAAGTAAGTGTATTTCCTGGATTCTTTGCTCACACATTTCTGCAGAGCACATCTACCACAAAGCATTTTTCCACCTTCAGTTCTGAGATTTCGTTCCATCAGTTACTGGAATGCTTGTTCTTGAGATGCATGAGATACTGTAAGTTCAGCCTTTGTTACCGTAAGTGGTCCGACTGTGGGTCATGTCTGAGGCAGGTTCCATGTTTGCTCATCAACTCGCAACTCGGAGGAGTTGACCAAGTGGCCCAAAATGGCCTAGAAACAAAATCAACAAGACATCGGTCAGTCACATGGGCCTCAAGCAAGGCACGGCTCAAAGATTTGCTGTTGATGATGAGGGCATGGCCGGGCAAGTGAATTTGTTGACAGAAAGCTGAACCCCCCTACAGTACACGAAGCGTTGAAACATGAGTGCCTGAAGCTTGGAAAACAGTTCCGGAACGCCTAATTTTTTATCATTGGCACGGACATAATATAGAGCCGGGACCTTAAGCAGGCTCTAAGTACTTGAGTTGGAGAGTTGGAATGTAAGTAGACCAGTATCAGTGTGCTTCTCACGCTGGGCCTGAATGGTTCAAATATGTTTAAGTAAGTTAACTATATTAATGTTTAATTGGTGAGCTTGCCATTTAGCAAGTCCAAAGGCTTGGGTTTTCTGTTGGACTTGATGCACCTTCGTCCACGGCCCACGGGCCCACGGGCGACGGCCTTAGGCGAGACGATCCCATTTGCATTTGGGAGAACGTGGAGGAGCACAAGTCAGCCATTGAGAAGAATCCATTTTTGGCCTTGGCGGAGCTGTGCTTTGGACTGCAGATCTGAGCCGTGCAGCCGTGCCTCTTCTTTCAAGGCTTCTACACTGGAAACAAGCCGATGGCCTAAGTCGACCTTCTTTGCAAGAGTAGACTATGTAGCAGTACTTGTCATCATACCGAGGGTTCAGCAACTGTCTGGATCGACGATGTAACTCTAAAAGGATCTACGGTAGATCTAGATGTAACTCTATCATACCAAAGGCACTTGGAACAAAGCGCACACCGTTTGTTGAGATCTAGATTTTCTCTTCATCGTCAAGCTGATCATGTCCCGGAAAGTCAATTCATCACAGGGTTCCACAAGTGGCGAAGCTATAAGAGTTGAAGTTCAATACTTTACAGTTGCAACTGAGAGCTGTGGCGTTTTGCAATGTTTAGTCCAAGGCAGCGTGGATCTCACGGCTGCAAGTGACTTGGAGATAGAGCGGGTCTTCCCAGCAATTTTATGCCACAAGTGGTACTTTTGGAGGTGTCAGATGCAGAAAACCATCGAACACCGGGCTATTTGTCGGAAAGAGCCTCTATTGCCAAAGCAACCCACCCAGTCGAGCAGAGCAGAGCCGCATGACATAGCCATTGATCAGCTGAGGTTCGATTTCTGGGGCTACAATTCCGTTGGAAACCGCATGATTGGTGACTTCGTCCTTGCCTCCTGGGAGGAGCTCAAGCGAAGCTGAGAATCACTGAGTCAGCTGAGGGAGCTGAACCGATGGGTCTCGGCCAGGTAGCCCAGCATAGCTTCCCGAGTTGACTGGCTAAAGGGCCATGAACTTGCACAGATGTGGGGATGGGGCATGAAACAGTTCAAACTCAAGACAGTCGACCTATATGATCTACATGCACCAAATTCTTGATGCCATCATTCCGTCATTGTGCCCGACCGGTTTCATCCAATCTATTCATTTTCCAACCGACTCCACGCACCATCTTTTCCAAGAGAACGTGAGTTGTCGGTGGGCCTCTGTGGCTTGCCTTTGGGCAGTGGATTCTTGCCAGGCAGTGGGCCTCTTTGGATTGTGAGAGATCAGAGACACCACAAATCACCACCATGAGGCGAACTGAAGGTTGAATCGCACCAGGTCACCTGCCCAGGTTTTGCTCGCTTTCAATGAGCTACAGCATAGTCACAGCCAACAATGCGCGATGGCCACTAAGCAGAACACCTCAAAAGCCCTATAGCCTATATATAAGTTATATTATCTGTATATACGTGATGCTCGAGGGCTTGAGGTTCTGCCGGGAGACCAAACTGGTTCCTTTTGCTGAGCTTTTTAAGCGCAAGTTGGTGTGGATCCTCGGTAAAGAGTGATGAAATGGATGCAACCCACGGCAGGGACCCAAGCCTTATCAGGTTGGACCCACCGGACACCCCAATCAGGAGACATGAGGAGTCTCAGTAGTGTTTTGATGTCTTTTGCGTTTGTTTGTTGCTTCAGCTTCAGGTCTGAAGTCTGATCTCTCAATTTCACAAGCAGGGCTGGGAGTAGGTTGATGGCAACTGAGACACGTTCCTTACTTGATGGCATGCGAACAGTGCAACAGCTCAGTTCTTTTTTAGAGCTTCTACTTTCAACTTTGGTGTGGCCGACAAGGACTGCTCGAAGGTATCAAGAGATCAATTTGGAGACGAGACACCCGGAGACACTGGTGGAATTGGGAGGTTCGCTGAGTTGGATCAGCAGGATCGATAGCCCACGTAGGTGATCAACCTGATGGATCGCGAGTTGGCCTTGGCTGCCAATCTCTCGTGCCCGACCTCGATTGGTGGACCGAGGACCAAATTTCTTGGACTGCTCAGGCCTTTGACAGCCCTACGCTACATTGCTACACATTCACCTTTAATCTCAGTTGCCCGATATTCTGTTGGATTTCTTGCTAGAAGGCGCCTGGTGCGATGACCTAGGTTCAGAAGATTTCAGAAGTAGTTTTTTATGTTTCCGGTCTTGCCAGGGATCCTTTCTCTTGCTCCTATCAACTGCGTACCGCAGGTATCGCTACCCTGATGAGCCGCCAGAGCGGCTGACAGACTTGGCCCAGGAACCCAGCTGCGAAACATTGCAGTCGATCAACGTGGATTGTAGTTGCACTTTATACGCAAGCTACGCGGAAATCCGCATACTTAACTGTGAAACATCGCGAATTGCAACCGATTTGGCTCAGCGTATCGCTCAGTCCTGGCTTTGTGACTTCGTGATACAGAGATATACATCGATATACGTCCATCAGCAAGAGCACTGAGCGATGGACGCTTGATTAATTACTCAAGTCTGGTTTGATATGCGTTCCATGCTTACATGGTGAGCAGTCCATCCACAAGTGCTGTGTACAACTTTCCATGAGGCTTTGGCTTGCTATGGTTCCATGCTTCTGCTTGTATCATCTTGTATCCAAGTATAGAATACATGTATGTATACATATATTCACATTTAATTTATAGATGCTGTATAGATGTATACAGGTTCGATGCTATATAGACTATAGACAAGGAGAGAAATCAACGTGAAGGGGCCCAGGGGGGTTGACAGCTGTAGTGACACTGGGGCAAGCGGCCAAAGAGAGATTGCTTTAACTTTAGCTGTAGCTTGTGTTCCAAAACCGACTCCGCCTTTGACCGCCGTCCTCCACCTTCTGAACCTGCCGAGTAAAGCGTCCGCAATCAATCGGGTGAGGCGTTCGAGGATGGTCCTGTGGCATCACCGTATGCTGTGGTCTGGTGGGCTCAGGGTCGGCACGACGGGTTCCACATGCTTTACCAAACTCATCAAAATTATCATGTTCAAGATCAGCACTTGCGTAGAACTATCCAGGTGTGAAAGGATGGCAATAGACTTGTGTGGTTTTGTTTCATGGTGAATGGACAGTACGGTGGTTCTCAAGGTTCATGGAATGAGGACACGCATTCCTCCGGCAAGGCAAACCATGGCAAAGCATGCCTCAACATGTGCAGCGGCTCGCACACACGCTTCGTCCATCCAGGTCAATGCGCCTCGCCGAGCAGCGGCTTCCAGAAAACAGAAGCGTTCCAGGTGACATCAGTTTTGTTTGTTCCCGAACCATGAGTCATGTCATTTGTTTTTCCTCTTGCACAGTGAACTCGTCATGTTTGACAGTTAGACAGGAACATATCTCACTCATCCATAATTCCCAATGAATCCCGGGGCCGTCGGATGAGCACTCCGTGACTCCAATTTTGGTGAGTGCTACCGTCGGATGGAACCGGCGCAGGGGCCGCGCTCAATCGCGTCGCTCTGCGGGCAGTCGGCCGCCCAGCCTTTCTGGGACGTGATCTACAGCGGTTAGGAGCTGGGAGCTGCAAGGAGCTGCATGCCCACACACAACCAGGATCCACTGGCTGTTAGGAGCTGCAAGGAGCTGCTTGTTTCACCCTCCATCTGATTTGTGGGAGAAGGTCTGGCCTGAAACCGAGGTGTTGCCGCAGTCTATGCGCCTTCGACCGGTTCAGTGGCGCGCCCAGAGCGCTGAGGAGCAGCTCCCTCTGAAAGTAGGAAGGTCAGGAGGTAATCCAGTGTGAACCATGGTAACCCACGGTAACCATCTCATGTTTAGGCTGTTCAGGCAACTCTTTTTGCCTCTGTTGGATGTTGAGACCCTCCGATTCGATCGTCTTTTTGGAGTGAGAGCCGTGATTCCTTGGCAGGCTCAGAGAAGGTGAAAGGGGTGATTCGTTGTCTCAAGTGTGTCATACCGAGATGTACAGTGGAACCTGGAGAAAATAGTCTTTCTTTGTCATGTTCATCGTTCAAATTGTTTGTTCAGAGACTTGAGACAAACACATGGCATCTCCTTCAGAACTGGGCTATAAACATGCTTGTTAAAGCTGTTCTGACCAGGTGACATATACGCAAGAATCGGCTCGAAGATGCTGTGCAGAGTGCATTGAGCAACACAATTTTTCGCAATGGAAAAACTGGAAACCCTCGTGGACAGCTTGCAGAGCCCCTTGCCAAAGTCGATAGTTGGTTTGTCGTGCAGGATTGCTTTAACAATGCTTCTCTCTTCATGTTGCCATCGTTGTGTGAGCAACCGACAAATTCTGTCTCTGGTTGTAATTGAAGATTTGGCTTACTAGGGATTTTCGTTTGGCAGATGCTCATATGTGCTTAGATTTGATGATCTTAGAATGCTTGGTATCATCGCATGGTTAACCTTTGGTCACTGGTCATGTCCCCCTTATGGCTTATTTTCCCCAAAAATTGGTTTAAGGTTTGTTGAAGAGCAAGCTGCGAGATCTCCGGTGTGTCCAAGGCTTTTTACATCAGATGGATGAGAGGCTTTTACGACATGAGAAGCTCATTGAGACATCCCTTCGAAGGAACTTCTCAGAGCCCATGGTGTTCTCACCCTCCGGGCCCTGCGCCAGCTCCATGGAACGACCTGATCCTCCAGAGACCCGCAAGTCGCCGGCCTTCCACCCAGGGCGCGACCTCACCAGCGATATCGTTGAAGAGGCACCTAGGAGTCCGAAGAGCCCTTTGTCCGAAGCAGATGGAGATGGCGATCCTGAACCAAACTTCGACTTGAACTCGCCGATCTCGCAACCGGCGAATTTGATTCGGTTGACCTCCAACCAGCGTGGAACCCGACTTTTCAAGCCTGTGAAGCAGAATTCCTATGAGTCACTCGGCTTAGGTTCTTTGTTCATGTTTTCTGCACATGCTTGCCCGTGAAAAGATGAAGCTAGTGTTTGCTGAAGTTTGATTCATACATGTTCATACGTCATAGAGTCATAGCCAAAGCAAAGGACCGACATACGTCGGCCACGTGTCTTTTAGTCACCAGCAACGAGTTGCAGAAGCCAGGCTAGCGCAAGAGGAGGAATCCAGAATGGTGATGCCCGGCACGTCAAGCCCATCCATCCATGCCTCGGAGATGCCGCAATTCCAGCACATCCATAAGGGTCGTCCATGTCGAAAATATATGGCAAAGATCGTCTCTACCTGGCAATTCGAAACCGTTTTCGCCCTCTTCATTCTGGCGCATGCCATTTTGCTGGGCGTTCAAATCGAATGGGAGCCTGGGACAAAGATGATCTAAGGGTGCAACAGAGATCAACAGAGTTTCAGATTTTGATTTCTGTACGTTTGTTTAAACATTGACTTAACATTGACTTAAAATGACTTAACCATTTACCAACTCACAGCATCATAATTAATAATATACAAGATTATACAAGCAGCATCATTCAGTACTGCGGTGTGTTCCGGCATCTTCGTAGAGAAGCCAGAGATGGCTGTGGAGGGCAGCCGCCAGCGAAGGCCCACACCACACTCTGACATTGGTTTTCAGTTAACTCAATTGCCACGGTGGGAAGGATGGTGAAAAACGGTAAGGTGAAGAGTCCGCAAAACTTGTAGATGTTTTAACAAACTGTTTGTCAAGTCTGCAGAAATCACTTAACGCGCGGCTCAGCTGCAGAAACGCAGAAAAGGCTTAAAAATTGAAAGGCAGGTACGTCAGTGCTGGCCGGGCACTGATATCACATCCACTTGGTGCGGTCTTTGTTAGATGAGGCACACCAAGGGATCCTCATCCCCCTGCGTGGAAACTGCATAATGAAAATTCAGTGCCCCTGGATACGGGGGTTGACACACACAGTATGCCGTGAGTCGGCGCTTCTGGAGAGAGGCTTGGCGGTCAATAGCTTGCTTACTGGCTGGCTGGCTTGCTTTCTTGCTTGCTTGGCTACTGGCTTGCAGTGCGGGAAGTGGGTGAAGTGGGGAGGCATGTAGGCTTGTGGGAGTGCATGTTGAAAGGGCGTGGCGGTGACATGGCTGGAGCTTGTGGTGGATGAGATAGCAAAGCAGGTAGTGGTGGTGGTGGTGGTGGTGGTG